GACAGTGTCACTGGCCCTCATATGTAGGATCCGAACCAGGGCCCTCTGGCATCCCAAGCCAGTTCTTAACCATCGCGCCACTCGGCCAGCCCTGTCCTTTTGTTCTTTAGTCTAGTTGTGGAGGACATCACTTCACTGGCCCATGTTGGTATTATCATTGTGCTCTTCCCGGGTGAGGCAATCTCATCGCTGACCCACTGCAGCCTGCGCTGTCGCCAGTGACTAACAGCAGCCCAGTTCCGGATCTAGCTGTAGTTCACCATTTTAGCTGTAGAGGGTGCAGAGTCACTGACCCTCATGTGGGATCTGAACCGAGGCCCTGATGCTCAGAGCTGGTGTCCCAAGCCAACTCTTAACCAACGCGCCACTCAGCAGGCCCAGCCACCTTCATTTTGAACAACACCACCAGCTAGCAACCATGTGCCATGTAGCTATGTCCGAGGACAAGGGCCATTTCACATTGTTTTATGTGTCTCCTGTCCCCGGAGACAGTGATGACCACTAACAGGTCCTCAGGACATTTGCCAATGACTTAACATAAATTGATGATTATAATCCTAATATGCAGTTGCTTGCTTCTTCCAAGAAAGGACACATGTAAATGGGTTTATGAGAGTTGGCAGACTCGGACAGTGGAAACAGAAAATGTCGAAGTTCTGAAAATGGTGATATTGTTTTATCCTGTGCCTTACCATGAAAGAAATAATATTCTAAGGCCATTTTCTCATCTTTGCTTGTACTTAACTTTGATGTACTCGTATACCTACATCTCTTGGTGGCAAAACAATACGTAAGATGGGAGCATAGTAAGTATACGCATTTAAAATTAACGTATGTGAAGTATATAATAAAATGCTTCAAACTCACTTCCTTCACCTCGGGAATAGGAGGGTCTTGAGAGTGGGGTTTGTTGCTAATTCCATAGCTTTATATAAAACTCCTCGGTTATAATAAGCGGATACTTTGGAAAATTGAACTCTGTGTTCATTCTTCCATCCAGGTTTAATAAATCCCTGTTTTGTATCTTTCATATTAGCCATGCATTCATTTAGCACTTCCTTCCATTATACTTTTAGCCACTTTCTTAGGCCTTTTCATTGCCATCTTGACTATTGGTAAGCTGACCTAGCCAAAATTTTAGGCGGCTGCCTCAACAGGTAAACCCAATTTCAGTTTCTTTTTTACTTTCTCATTTTCCATCCACAAACGAAATGGCCACCGGTGCCTTTAGGGCAGAGAATCTTGATTCATTTACACATTTCCTAGAAATTTTCTGGCTCCTTTTCTTTGGTCCTGCTTGTTTGTTTGTTGTACTTTGCTTTCGTTTATTCTGAATTATATTCCATTGTTTTGGTCACGATATTCCCTCAGCCAACACAATACTCCCTCAACCAATTGTTAAGCTGTATTACAATTCTCTGAATTAGTTTTAGCCTTTCAGAGGCTTTTTCAGAAGTATGTAATTATTTTATCTTCACACAAAACATAGCTTCTTGAAATAACAATGACTTGTATACGTGCCTCTCAGTGTACTGAAGTCACCCCTTCGTGCTGATTCTGAACTTGCTCCCCCAAATCAACCTGAATTTCCCATTCCAAGGAGCAGAAGCTTGGACTGCATTCCGGCTTTTTATTTGTTGTGTTTGGTTACTCTGCATTAGCATATTCAATAAAACTGCCTCTTCTGGCACGTTTCTGTTTTTAAGAATGCTACATTATTGAAAATTTTAAAAAGTGTTTTCGTTTGAGATGCACATCAGCTGTGAGCTGTCCTATTGCAATAGTCATGGCCATAGTAACAAAGTGCAGTAATACCTTGGTTTGTGAGCATAATTTGTTCCAGAAACAAACTACTCGTATCACAAGACATCGCTCATTTACCATGTTAAAATGTATTAGAAATGTTTGCTTGTCTTGTGGAACACTCACAAACCACGTTACTCGCAATCCAAGGTTTTACTGTACTATGTATCAAAACAGGCAGAAACAAATCAGAGAAAAGAGGAATCATGTTAGTTTTCTCGTTGCTGCTATAACATATTACCCCCAAATTTAGTCGCTTAAAGCAATACAAATTTATTCTCTTATAGCCTGGAGGTCAGAAGTCCAAAATCAGTGTCACTGGGCTAAAATGAAGATGTCAGCAGGGCTGGTTCCTTCTGGTGACTCTGAGGGGACTGTTCATTTCCTTTAGTCATATTACTACTCTGATCTTGTCCTCCCTCTTATAAGGACCTTTGTGATTATATTAGGCCCACCCAGATAATCCTGAATAATCTCTCCATCTCAGGATCCTTAATTTAATCATATCTGCAAAATCCCTTTTGTCATATCAGGTAACACATTCACAGATGGTTCTGGGGATGATGAAGTGGACGTCTTTGGAAGCCATTATTCAGCTGACTACAGAACCGTGACTGCTCTCTCTAGTGACACTTTCTTTGGCCTCTCCTATTGAGGTTGGGCTGACTTGATGGGGTGAGGAGACGTTGGTAGACAGGCCTGCCAGTGGCCTGCAAAGACCTCATGCCCAGCTCCTTGCCTGCAGCACCCTGCAGTGGTCGCCAGGTCTCAGCGGCCTATCAGGGCTATCAGGCTTGCCACACAGTACTCTAGGGCCTGACCGCTGCTGCCAAGATGTTTGCCAGCCGCCCTTCCTCACTCTGCCTTCTTTCCTTTTCAGCACTGTGTTAGTGCCAGGAGGCCACTGCATCAGCAAGCTGAGAGGGAAACTGAGGCAAGATGTCGGGCCGGAGTGGGAAGAAGAAAATGTCCAAACTGTCCCGTTCAGCCAGGGCCGGTGTCATCTTCCCAGTGGGGCGGCTGATGCGTTACCTGAAGAAAGGGACCTTCAAGTATCGGATCAGCGTGGGTGCTCCCGTGTACATGGCGGCAGTCATCGAGTACCTGGCAGGTAATGTGAACATGGGGAGCAGGTAGGTCACCGATTCCCAGGTCCCACCCTCCCTTGGGCCCCTCTCATGCAGGCTGGGAGGGTGCCGTCTCAAGGCTACTGTGGGTGGTAGCTGGGTTTCAGCTTGCCTGCTTGGCTAAAATCAACGTCTGCAGGCATAAGGAGGACAGATGATCAACACGGGAGGAAGAGAACCCACACTAAAGTGGCTTTTCCAGATCAGCCCCAAATAAGGTGTGTCTTCCTTTAGGCAAATGTAATACGTAAAAATCTAGGTTCCTAAAGAAGAGAAACTATGGGGAGGATGGGGGTTGCTATTTGTTTTGTAAAAGGGTGTCTTCACTTTACATCAAAGTCTTCATTAAACGTCGATTATCCTGGTGTATTAACACTAGAACTCTGTCCGTAAATAATGTTGACCTGAGCATCAAAAGCATCGTCAGTTGGTTTCATGAAGCCAGTAATGTTTGCTCTCCTTTACAGAGGTGAGTCTCTGTCTACAGTGGGCACCTAGGAAATAGTTTCCCATATTGGTTGTTCAAATTATATTTTTTACTAAAAGATGAGATTTTTGCTGTGTGTGTTCTTCATATATTTGAGTAGCTTTCTATGTAATATTTTTGTTCTTGTTCTATGCCATAGTTAAATAGAAATAATACTTCTCAATTTCAAGTATGCTTTTAAAATATACGTATATACATATTAATATATGTAAATATATTAACATGTAAATATGTGTGATTAATTCATTGAAGGGGCCGTTTTAGCCATGAGCAACAATGTCCCTGACTTTACCCAAGGTTAACAAAACTCCAGACACCAGAGTTAAATCCCTTGGGAAGTCCACTGGAAAAAAAGCAAACCTCCCCAAACTGTCTATTCAGAAGCTGAGTCCCCCGCAGCCGCAGCATGAACACCCCCAGGTGTGGCAGGGCTGGACCCAGTTTCTGTCCCAGGTCCCTCATTTCCTCCTGCTTCTTCCTCAAGGGCAGCCTCTTCCTTTTTCAATGCTCAGTCCTGTTCTGCCCTCTTGGTCCCCCATCGCTCAACCAAGCACCATTATTGGTGAAAGGTTTGCCTTGATCCTCCCATGGAAACCTCCCCCTGGACCTTCTGTCAGGCTGACCTCTGCACCTCAAGCTGTCCTTTATTGTGAAATGAAAGGCTTGTTCCTGGGCTGAAAGTTGTTTTAGGAGGATTCTTTAGGCGGTTGGAGAGAAGAGCTGGAGGGCTCTGAAACTCGATTGAATCAGTGTGATAGAGCAGTGCTTTTCAAAGTGGGGATCACTCCGGGACCTTGTTGACAAGGTCTGGGGTGGGACCTGAGACTCTGCATTTCTCACATGCTTCCAAGTGGTGCTGCTGCTGCTGGGTCAGGGACCGCTCAGAGGAGCAAGATGGTAGCCAGTCTTCTAGCAGCAGGCCTAAAGGCTTGGGCAATGCTTGTTTAAATTGCAGGTTCCTGGCTGCACTCCTCCCCTGGTAGTCTGATTCACTGTGCCTAGGGTAGAACCCAGGAATCTGATGGGAAAATTTGCTGGCTCCAGGATGGAGAGGAGGGACTTTAAGAAAGGTGAATGAAGCTTTAAAACAACCTGTTAGGCCCCTATCACCCATTAAAACTGGAAAACACTGGGCAGCCCGGAGATCTGCAGCCTCCAAGTCAGGAGCTGGGGTTCCCTGAGGTCCTTGGACCACAAGCCGTGCACTTTCTGCTATACTACATTGCTCCATTATAATGTTTGTATAATCAAAATAATTCAATACTCCTTGTGTCTTCATTTGGTAAAAATCTAAACTTCATGCATAATACAACAAAATTTGGCCTTTTTAATCACTGGCATCTGTTTGTCTTTGGTTCAGAAAAAAGCTTACATTTTCCTATGCATTCATTCAACAAATATTTGTTAAGTATCTACATGTCAATGTATACACTCAGTCCTGGTAATAGGATTGCACCATTGACATGATTTGTAATTTGTCTTGGATTAGAGCCCCCAACCTCACAGCAATGCCTACAATAGCCTGCACATTACACTGACTTTGAGCCAGCAGGTTTTTAAGGAATTACAGTATCCCAAAGTAGAGTATCACCCTATTTCTCAAATTGATTTCTCATAATCCTCCATTCATTCAATGAACAGTTACTGAATACCTACCACATGCCAGGTGTTCTTCTAGATGCTGGTATACAACAGAGACCCAGACAGAGAGGAGTCCCCACTCTTAAGCAGAATGCATTCTGGACAGAAGAAATAGCCAGCAATTCAGTGGAGCGTATGGGGTGCATCAGGTGGTGCTGAGAGCTAGGGGACAAATAAAGCAGAAAGGGACACGATAGTGTATTCCAGGAAGTGGGGAGGTGAGGTGAGGGGAGTTGTGAATAGAGGCGGTGCAGGAAAGTCCCCCTGAAGGGGTGGCATCTGAAGGAGGCCAAGGAGCAGGCCTGTGGATATGTGGGGGCTGGCACTCCAGGCCCAGGGAAAGTAGATGCTAGGAGTGTTGAGGGAGCAGTAGGGGGGCCAGAGGGCTGGAGCTGGGGAAGGGGGCTTGGACTGTAAATGAGGCCCAAGGGAGAATGGGCTGATGGGAGCTCTGGAGAGTTTTGAACAGAGGTGGAAGTGACCTAACCCTGGAGGAGAGGGTTATAAGGACAGAAGCAGGAAAAGCAGCTGGAAGGCAATTGCAGCGATCCAGTGAGAGACATGTGGTTGGGGAGTAGGCAGTGAAGGCACCAAGAAGTGGTCAGAGGACTGATACATTTTGAAGGCAAAGCCAACAGGATTTGCTAATGGGTTGGACATGAAATAGAAGAGAAGATGAGCACCTAGAAGGATGCTGTTGCCAATAATACCCCAACTGCAGTCTCAGCCTCCAGCACCCTCCTGGGTCAAATGGAGAAGGTGACGTTAGGTCTTCTGAGGCACAGGCCTGCCTTTTCTGTGTTACTTTTCTTCCTTTTGCGCTTTTTCTACTCCCCGCCCCCCAAACTCAGGCTGGAGTTGAGAGAGCACAGGCTTAGTTAGATGTCAGTTTAAATCTTGTTCATCAATTTACCGGCTCTGCTACCTTGGGCTAATTCCTGAATCTCTCTAAGCTTCAGGTGTGTAAAATGCCTGGTCCATGGGATGTGCTTGATAAATGGTAATGCTTTGCCTCTCCCTTCTGTTAAGAGCTGATGACATCATTCAGGGCAAAGTATGACTAATTCCATTAAGGTGTTGTATTTTGGGGGTGTATTTGCATTTTAATGAGGCAAGGAGTGTTATGTCAAAGCCAAAGGATTGAATCACTATTAGTGGAATTGCAGGCGATTGTTGAATAAGTACAAAGGGGATTGGGGATTTTTATTAGTTGTCTCTTTTTTTCTTTTTCTTTCTTTTCTTTTCTATTTTTTTTTTTGAGGAGGCATCAATTTATTTTGTTTAGGAAAGGGTTTTCAAAATGTAAAAGCCCCCTGTCACCCTTGAAATGACCTTCAACATTTACAACATAAATATTGACTGAGCTTCTCCTTTGGACCAGGTTTTGAAGACATAATGGAAAACAGACAGACGTGGTCCTGCCTTCGCCAGGCTTACATTCTAGCAATTGGACAGCCATTAAATCACCACAATAAGATAACATGCATGTTGATCAAGGAAGCTAGAGGCGCTTTGGAAGTGCTGACGGGGTGCAAGGGAGGTTTCCTAATATAAAGGAAGAGTTTTTAAGACCTAAACTAGGTTCTCAACCCTGGATTTTTTCAAATTGATTGATTTTAAAATCCTGATGCCTGGGTCTCACCCCCAGAGACTCTGGGGTATGTTCTGAGCATCAGGGTTTTTTAAAGCTCCCCCAAATGATTCTGGTGGGCAGCCAGAATAGGGAATTAGTAGGAATTAACTGGCTTCAGATGGAGGGGCTCAGCGAGGGGGAGATTGTTGGGTTGGGGAGGAACAAGAGTGAAGACCCGAAGTTCAGAGGAAGTGTGTAGCCTTTTCCAGAAACTAGAGGAAGTTCCACGTACCTGGAGCAAAGCTGGGACATGGCTGGGCTGGGGTAGGGTGGGGGGAATGAGATGGGGTAGGAGGGCGGGTCTTTGGGGGCCACAGTGAGAATGTACACATGTTGCACACATGCCAGGGGAAAGCATCAAAGAGAGGAGGTGGCATTCCAGGGGCATCACTGGGGCTTTAGGTGGAGAAGCGTTGTCAGGAAGTAAGATCAGTGTCCAGGAAACCAGTGTGTCTGTTTCAGTGTCGCTTTTGAGAATTGACAGTGGCCAGGACTAGGGGTGCACAGTGGGGATGCTGAGAAGAAATGGACACATTTGGGAGCTATTTGGAGGGTAGAGTCAGCTCTGCTTAATAATGGATTGGATAAGTGGGAAGGGGCATCATGGATGGCATGCCTCTTTCAGCCTCAGGCTGGCTACTTCCTTTCAAGCCAAGCTATATGGGTTGAGGAGTGGAGATGTGGACTCGGAGACAAGAGGATGGAGAATTTGTATAAGGAGTCTGGCCAAGAGGAAGAGAAGAGAGGAAAGCATCTGGTGTGTGGAAAATGGTGCCTGTAGATGAAGCAGGAAACAGTGCAGGAGAAACAGGACGCAGGATGAGGGGCTTGGTTTGGAACCTGTAGGGTTTGGTTATCTACAAGATGCCCCACAGGGAAGAGTGGTTAGGGATGCTGGACTCTGGCTCTGCCACTCTTAGACATTTCACTTTACTATCATAGTGTCATTGTAAGGATTACATAAGATAATGCATGCAAACACATGGTAGCAATTCAGTTCACGCAGCTATTGCTGTAATTGAAGTGAAGACCTACTAGACTTGTGTGGAACCCAGGAGGGAGCTGTAGGCTGGAGCTACAGATGCAGGTATCTTGGGCAGACTATAGTAAAGGCTGTGGCAGTAAGTGAGGCAACTAGTAACTTATAAGGGAGCTCCCATAAGATTGTCAGCTGATTTCTTAGAAACTTTGCAGGCCAGACGGAATTGGCAGGAAATATTCAA